TTTTTTTTTTCTAGGAAAGAGAGAGAGACAGCGTGAGCAAGGGAGGGTCAGAGAGTGAGGGAGACACAGACTCTGAAATAGGCTCCAGGCTCTGAGCTGGCAGTCCGCACAGAGCCCGACGCGGGGCTCGAACCCACGAACCGCGAGATCATGACCTAAGCGAAAGTCGGACGCTTAACCGACTAAGCCACCCAGGCGCCCCAAACCACATCTTCTTGATCCATTCATCAGTTGATGGACACTTAGACTCTTTCCATGTTTTGGCTATTGTTGAGAGTGCTGCTATGAACATTGGGGTACATGTGCCCCTATGCATCAGCACTCTTGTATCCCTTGGGTAAATTCCTAGCAGTGCTACTGCTGGGTCATAGGGGAGTTCTATTGTTAATTTATTGAGGAACCTCCACACTGTTTTCCAGAGGGGCTTCACCAGCTTACATTCCCACCAAAGTTGGGGGGGGGTGCCCATTTCTCCACATCCTCACCAGCATCTAGAGTCCTCTGATTTGCTCATTTTAGCCACTCTGACTGGCGTGAGGTGGTATCTCAGTGTGGTTTTGATTTGTATTTCCCTGATGAGAAGGGATGCTGAGCATCGTTTCATGTGTCTGTTGGCTATCTGGATGTCCTCTTTGGAGAAGTGTCTGTTCATGTCTTCTGCCCATTTCTTCACTGGATTGTTTGTTTTTCAGGTGTGGAGTTTGGTGAGTTCTTTATATATTTTGGATACTAGCCCTTTATCTGATATATCATTTGCAACTATCTTCTCCCATTCCATCAGTTGCCTATTAGTTTTATTGATTGTTTCCTTTGCCGTGCAGAAGCTTTTTATCTTGATGAGGTCCCCATAGTTCATTTTTGCTCTTGATTCCCTTGCCTTTGGGGATGTGTCAAGTAAGAAATTGCTGCGGTTGAGGTCAAGGAGGTTGTTTCCAGCTTTCTCTTCTAGGGTTTTGATGGTTTCCTGTCTCATATTCAGGTCCTTTATCCATTTTGAATTTATTTTTGTGTGTGGTGTGAGAAAATGATCTAGTATCATTCTTCTGCATGTTGCTGTCCAGTTCTCCTAGCACCATCTGTTAAAAAGGCTGTCTTTTTTCCATTGGATGTTCTTCCCTGCTTTGTCAAAGATTAGTTGGCCATACATTTGTGGGTCCAATTCTGAGTTCTCTATTCTATTCCATTGGTCTTTGTGTCTCTTTTTGTGCCAATATCAGTCTCTCTGTTGACTTCACCATATGTAAATAATGATGCTAATACCAACATTTAAAAAGAGATGCATGGGGCACCTGGGTGGCTCAGTGGTTAAATGTCCAACTTCGATTCCGGTTATGATCTCACCTTTCAGAACTTCGAGCCCTGTGTCAGGCTCTGTGCTGACATCTCAGAGCCTGGAGCCTGCTTTGAATTCTGTGTCTCCTTCTCTCTCTGACCCCCTCCCACTTATGCTCTGTCTCTTCCTCTCAGTGATAAATAAATATTAATTTTTTTAATAAAATAGAAATAGATACATGTAAATCCACTCAAGTATCCCCATCTTAAATTTTCAGGTTTCCTCTCTTTTCCCAGTCCTACCTTTTATATGAGAGACCTATAGAGGCTGTAAATTCAACTTATACTGTATTTATGCAACCAATACCAGTGGGTTGGGGGCCTAAACTTTGGCTACATTGACTCTGCAGGTTCAAGAGAGAAGATACTTTTTGAATAGCAGACATAGATACTCTCTGGTTCTTTGACCATGACTTATGCCAAAAACCTAAAATCGTGAGCTTACTAGTTTCTTTAAGCTTTATTCTAAGCAGTTACCCTACCTCTGTGCCCCCTCCACCCTCATAGCCTACCCCATAGTCCTTTTATATCTCATTCTATTGTAATGGTCAATTGCAACAACAATTTGATCTGCCAAAAGCTTGCTTTCAATAGTTACTTCATTCTAAGGTACTATAGGTGATAATTAAATTAGTGCGTGCCACAGACTTCCTGTATCCCATTTTCAAGTGGTAAGAAAGCTATCAAGATCAGATATCAAATAAAATCCAAATTAGACGTCTAATCCTCCTACTACTCAGGACAACAAAACACAAGGCAGAACAATATCATAAATGGACCCACACTTGTATTTTATGGTCAGCTGATTTAGACCAAGACACTAAAGCTATTCAATGGGGGAACAAAGATATTTTCAACTTACCTGGCTATATATATGGAGAAACAAATTTTGATCCATATTACATCACATATGGAAATTATTTCAAGATAGATCACAGACCAAATATTAAAGCTAAATAAATAAATTTAAGCTAAATAATATGTAAAGTTATATATATCTGACAAAGGGCACAAGGTCAATATATAAGGAACCCCAATAACTCCATAATAAAAACACAAACAATCCAAATTAAAAATGGGCAAAATACTTTAATAAGCATTTCACAAAGAGAGGTATACAAATGGTCAGTAAGCATATGAAAACAGTTTCAACTCCGTTAGGGGGAAAATGCAAATTAAAACCATAATGAGATACTACTTCACACCCACAGGGTAGAGAAATTAAAAAGACTGATAATACCAAATGTTGGCAAATATGTACAACAACTAGAATTCTCATCTGTTACTGGGGTTGCAAGGTGGATAGTATAAAATAACTGTGATATTTACTGGCAATTTCTCATAAAGTTAAATATACACTTATTCTATGACCCAGAAATTTTACATCTTGTTGTTTATCCAACAGAAATGAAAACATATACACAAAAATATTTGTTAAAAGACCCTTTGTAGTAGCTTATTTTCCTTAGAATAGCCCCAAACTGTAAGCAACTCAGGCGTCCATCAAAATGGGAATGCATAAGTAATTGTGGTATGGAATACTACTCTGCAGTAATACGGGGAGAGCCACAGATACATGCAATAACATAGATGAACCTCAAAAATATCAAGGTAAGGAAAACAGATACAAAAAAAGTACATAATACATTGTTCCATTTTTTTCAAAGTTCTATAACAGGCAAAACTAATACACACTGAAAGAATTGAAAGAAACCAGAATGGTGTTTTACCTTGGTAGAAGGGAAAGAGGGTGGGAGCAAGTTGGGATTGGTAGGGTAAGGGCTTGGAGTGGTGTTTCTACAGTGGTGGAAATGCTCTATATCTTGATAGAGGTGTGGATTACATGGCTATAAGCATTGTTAAAAACTCATCAAACTATATAGTTCAAGTTGGGGCATGTCCCTCTATGTAAATTATACCTCAGTTTGAAGAAAAATATTACTAGTTTGAACTCTTATTTCTTCCTTACAGAATTGGCAAAAATTGGAAAGTTTGACAATATGTTTTGCAGTGAAGGCAAAGCAGCCCCCTTCTCATACACACTCCCTTTCACAGGATCCTGGCTCAGAGGCCTTCTCTGTCAGCCTCTGCTCTGAGCTGAGAGCACAAGACTGTGACCTCTCAGTCTCTCCTAACCTCTGCCTTCTGAACTTGAAGGCCATATTGCTGTTACTTTTTCTTTCACAGAAAAGAGGAAATTCTTTGTAAACCTACCTTTCTCAGGAGCAGTAACCCATCAACTTGTAGCCATATTTCCATGCTTACCATCAGCCAAAAGTTTGGGGTAACACTGCAGTTTTGGCAAAACAACTATATATTGATTCTCTCTGCCCTCATCCACTGAAATGCTTCTTCACCACCACCCTCCTGCCCCCCCTCCCTAGATTCAGATGGTGGCCAAGCTAGCCTGGTCTGATGCAGCTAATGAAAACCAGCAGAGAGAAACTCTTTTCATCCTTTCTTTTCTTCCCTTTCAGAATGTATATGCAGAAAAGATTTCTCCTTTTTGTTTTATTTTGTTGTTGTTACTCATAGCTCAAGGAATTCTACTTAAGGCAAACTCATATAAAAACACCCATATTTTTTAGTATAGCTTTACCCTCTCTCTTCAAAAATGTGCTGAGTTGCCTTAGAAAAGAATGCCACTTATTATGTCTTGCTTGGTTGGAAAAATTATGCTCATGACTGATTGCAAGAAATATGGTCTCCCCACTCTTCCAGATGATCCAAAATGTCTTGGACTAAGTCAAACTTTCAGACAGCTGTTTACTAGAACAGTAATTCCTTTGATTCTATGCTACCCCAGTATATTTCCTTTTTTTTTTTTTTTTTGCTTCTGGTTGAGTTTCTGATGTTTGCATTCAAAAGTGTCTTGACTACTACAACTCATTTAGCTATGTGTATCTTTCCACCTTATCTTTAGGACATTTCTACTTCAATGATTTCCCGACCCTGAATCATAGCATTATTGCACATGATCTTTGAGAGCTCAAACTAGTATTTACTGAGGCTCTGGACCAGGTGGTAGGTATGGAGGTGACAAGATCTTTCTGAAGACCCAATTTGTAGATCTCAGGAATTAGCTACAAATGAAGAGAGAGGAGGGTTGGAATATTCCTTATTTCTAGAGCAAAAAAAAAAAAAAAAAATGGGGGACTGTCTACTCCTTTTGCAAAATGAAAGAAGCTGTGGAAGGATACCTGTTTGCAGGAGAGAAAAGAAAAGAATTTATGTTTCAGAGATCCCTGGCATGCCTCCCTCCATGTGAAGGTGCTCTATCCAAACTTCTGGAGAGGCCCCAAGCTGAAATTAGTAAACTGCTTCCAAGGTCCAGGAGAATAATAAGCCATGTGGTAGATCCCAGGTACATTGTAAGCACTCCTATAGGTATATGACTATTTCAAGCACAACTAATAGTATAAGAGTCCCCTGTATCCCATCCTTGACCTTACTCCACAAACTGAGGACACTTTTTTTTTTAATTTTTAATTTTAAGGTTATATATTTATTTGGAGAGAGAGAATGAATGGGGTAGAGGTGGAGAGAGGAGAGACAGAGAATCCCAAGCAGGCTCCATGCTGTCAGCACAGAGCACAATGCATGACTCCAACTCACAAACTGTGAGATCATGACCTGAGCCAAAATCAAGAGTTGGACGCTTAGCCAACTGAGCCACCCAGGTGCCCTGAGGACACTTGGTTTTGTGTTTAATCATGGGGTAATAGAAGTATCACAAAATACAGTAACAATATGGCCCAAGGTGAGAGAAGTAAACTGTACCCGGAGTCTGGCTCATGCACGTAGGGCTTTCCTGACATCGCTGTCTCTTTGCCAATCCATGACAGATAATTAGACACCTTTGTGTACACTCCAGGCAGTTTCTTCCGGCCACATCCCACTCCCCAGCTGACAATGCCTAGCTGGTACCATATGCTTCGGTTGTTTTTTTTCTGGCAAACCAGAGGACCCCCGCTGTCACCCTATGAGAGAAAAGTTGTTTGGGAGTGGAAAGGACAGTAGCAAATAACTTCTAGAGCCTATTGAAGTGTGGGCAACTGGCACAAGGCAAAAAGCACTTATGGTCTTTTGACGGGGACAGTTTAATTACACTATCCAACCACATGACTGTGCTTCCCAGCTGCATGACTAAGTGGCAAACAATTTGGTCAAAAGCAATGGTAATGAATGACAATTTGATTTACAAAAATGAATATCCATCATCATCATTATCATGTAGTCATATGGGTTCATTCTGATGTACCAAAGACTGGTTTTCTAATCCATTTCACCTCTAAGCACTTTTGTTGTTTTTCAGAATTCTTCCAATTTCCCCAGTACCTTTTTACTTTAAATCTATTTCCAGCTAACCCATTTGGTCTTTCTGTATTGTTCATAATAGCAAAAAGTGAAAAACAAACATAAAAATCCATTATGCCTCATAATGGGTCATTGGTTGAAGACAGCAGGCAAACAAACTGATATATATATAAAATGCATAAGATATTAAATGTGGTTTAAACCATTAAATTTTAAACAATTTACCAATTTTATTTTATTTTTTTTTTCAGACAAAGGTTCTTTTAATTAATCCTGACATGCTATAAACGAATAAATTACGCTATTTAAATAATTACGGTCAATAAATTTTTCTTTCTATTGGGTCGGAAAGAAGAATTTAAGATTAAGAGGAAGCGCACAGAGAATGTAGGGAAAAGAATGGGGCCTGGGGAGGGCCAGGGATCACGGGAACGTCACCTGGAGGGATACTCTCCAAGATTAAGTACCAATCTGCTCAAAGCCAAATCAACCAAGAACTTAAAGAAAAGCTACAGAACGGTAGTTAAACCCTTTAACGCTTTCATTCTTCTGCACAATCAGTCCAGCGCTGCTGCGTATGAGACCCTGCAGGAGTCAGAACACCAACTCCTGGCCACGGCAGCACTAGGCATTATATGGGCAAGTCATTGTAAAATGAAAAATAAAAGAATGCCTTTCCCCTTCAGACCAAAAAAAAAAAAAAGAATTTTTTTTAAATAAAAAAAACGGAGGAAAAGTTGTAACACTAAATCTAAAATGATTCGCAAAGGAACTATATGTAACAAATGGCTTGAAGTAGTCTATTTAAAAAAATTGGGGAGATTTTGATTTCATGGTGAGTCAGCAAGGCATTTTTTTTTGTTGTTTAAAAAAAAATCTCATTTCCTTACAGAAACAGTTTTTTAGTTTTTAATGAACTTGTAAACAAAAAGCTCCCATTTCAAAATAAAAACAAAATCCCAGATCATATAGATGTTTACAGTGATTACATTTATCTAAGCAAAATACATACATGTTTAGTTGTAAGATGTTAACTAAATTTCTGTGACAAATATGCTTTTTTTTTTTTAATACCAAGAACATTATAGAGTTAATGCAGAGTCCTAAGGATAATCTAGTAGTCACTAAGTTTTTCTTAAGTCTTCACTTTAGATGCTGTTATTTCTAGCACAGGTAAGCAGGCAGAGTCTTTCGTACGCTCAAACACTGGAATCTTTGGTAGCTACCATATCAAGCCGGCTTGCAAACAAGAAGCCAACCATTTTAAGAATGTTTTAAGTGAACAACTTGCAAATCCCAGGGGTGGATAAACCCTAAGAATGCACAATTGTGAGCATTTACAACCATCACAACTGTGACTGAAGACTGTTCATGCCGTTCTTCTGAAATGAGATCTCAAAGCAGTATGGTTCAAAATAAAAGATTTTAACAAAAAATTGGCATATGCACAATTTCTCCACCAATTTGTGTGTGTCAACCATTTAGTGAACTTTTCCACTTAAAAAAATGTAATAGAAAACTGGACACCATGTTTCAGTATCTCAGTTAATATTCACAATTACAGCGGCTACAACTCGGGACACGGCATCACCAAGCTGCCCAGAGCCAGTTTATACTGAAATAAAGTTCTTTACACCAAGTAAATGGTTGTTCACAACCACTGTCTAGTGTACATATGAACTAAAATTCCTAGATTTGGGGAGAAACAAATGCTGCTCCAATCATCTGCTTCTTCTGTTCCTTGATTCATGCTTAGAAACCTTTCATGTCAGTTTTGGTTTTGTCAGTTTGTCAGTTTGCTTGCCTATGGGGGTTTGGGCCTGCTGACCCAGCCCACTTGAAGAGGCTGCCTGCTATGCTGCTTTCTGCTTTAACATTGTCCAGTCAAACTTGTAGTCGTACTGGTGGTTCAGAGTCCTGAAAAGAATGCAGAATAGCTGCCTCAGATACATGTAATCTGGGGCTTCCTCAAAGCGCAGCCCACGACAATAGTTTAAGTACATGGCAAATTCTGCAGGAAACCCCTTACGTAAAACTTCAACAGGAGTGGACATCTTCTTTTCACTTATCTTTTCATATTTTTGCTTTTTTGTCGCAGACTTTAGTCCTTGCCAGGGCAGGCTGGTTCTATTAAAATACATCAAAACATATCCTAATGATTCCATGTCATCTCGGCGACTCTGTTCGATAGCAAGATGTGCATTGACGGTAGCATATCGGGCAGTGCCAGTGAGATTTTTATCTTCTCTGTATGGCATGTGTTGCCTTGTCCTGTTGTCTCTGTACTTTTTGGCCAAACCAAAATCAATAAGGAATAACTTATTACAGTGACGCCCGATACCCATTAGGAAGTTATCGGGTTTAATGTCTCTGTGTATAAAATTCTTTGTATGCACATATTCAATTCTACTGATCATCTGGTCAGCTAACATAAGTACAGTTTTCATTGTGAACCTTCTTGAACAGAAATTGAAGAGGTCTCCGAGGCTGGGTCCCAGAAGATCCATGACTAGCACATTGTAGTGTTTTTCCTGACCATACCACCGTATGTGGGGGATGCCAACCCCACCTTGAAGAATCTTAGAGTTTGCTCTCGTACAGCAACTGGGGATGCCTGGCCTTCTGAGATTCGAGCTTCACTGGCGCTTCCTCGCCGTTGGTAATGTTGATCGCCAGAAAAACGTCCCCGAAGGAGCCAGACCCGATCTTCCGTACCAGTTTATATTCCCCTCCCTCGGCCTTGGAGCCGCTGCTGCTCGCCATCCTAAGAGACGAAGATGGAGGCGGGGGCCAAGCCCCGACACCTCTGAGGGGCAGACAGAGGCCGCTGGGGCTGGTCCACGGAGCAAGGCTGCGGAGGAGGGCGGCCGGAAACGGAAAGCGCTGGCTCTTTCAAGGCGTTACAGGGCCCAGGATCGGTCAAAGGGAACCCGATCGCCGCCGCTCAGTCAGGCTTCTTTTGCCAGGCCGCAGCTTAGAGGGGTTTCTCGCGGTTACCAGGCTGGGCCACTTGTTTCTGGGCGGCCGCCGCTGCCTCGCTTTCACGGCAACGTCGCGGGCTGGAAAAGGGGCGCGGTGGATTAGGGCGGCGATACCGCTGCCACCACTGCCGCCGGCTCCCGCCCAGAGGGACCCCTGTCACTCCGCTGACGCCGCCATCTTGTTACTCCGGCTCCAGCCAACACAAAATGCCCCCTAAACAATTTACCAATTTTAAATCATCACAACAAAGATAGCCAAAACACAAGTAAGGGAGCAGACATCATTGACATAAAACTTGAAGAATGCACAATCTTTCAGTGCACCCAAGTCTTTGGGCCCATTTTTAAAATTTAAACTTTTATTATTTAAATATAGTTGACATACAATGTCATATTAACTTCAGGTGCACAGTATAGTGATTTGATTATTCTATGTATTACACAGTGCCATGATAAGTGTAGTTACCCTGTCACCATGTAACATTACTACAGCAGTATTCACTATATTCCCTATGCTATACTTTTCATCTCTGTGACTTATTAAATTCTATTAAAAATTATGTATCTTCACCCCCAAAATTAGAAATCTCAGATATGGGAAAGGAACATGAAGGATAGTCATAATTATATAAATAAAAAATTTATATATAAACACACATACACTTGTGTATGAAAAGAATATTTCAGGAGGGGCCTGGGTGGCTCAGTCGGTTAAGTGTCCAACTTTGGCTCAAGTCATGTTCTTGCAGTTTGTGAGTTTGAGCCCCGTGTCGGGCTCTGTGCTGACAGCTTGGAGCCCAGAGCCTGCTTTGGATTCTATGTCTCCCTCTCTCTCTGCCCCTCCCCGCTTGCTCTCTCTCTCTCTCTCTCTCTCAAAAATAAATAAACACTAAAAAAATTTTTAAAGAAATACCCAATGTTCATAGCAGCACTCTCAACAATAGCTAAAACATGGAAAGAGCCTAAGTGTCCATCAACAGATGAATGGATCAGGAAGATGTGGTTTATCTATACCATGGAATACTACATGGCAATGAGAAACAATGAAATCTGGCCATGTGTAGCAACATGGATGGACCTTGAGGGTGTTATGCTGAGTGAAATAAGCCAGGCAGAGAAGGACAGATACCATATGTTTTCACTCATAAGTGGAACAGGAGAAACTTAACGGAGGACCATGGGGGAGGAGAAGGGGGGAAAATAGTTGGGGAGAGGGAGGGAGGCAAACCATGAGAGACTCTTGAATGCTGAGGGCAGATGGGATACGGGGAGGGGAAGGGGGGGATAGGCATGGAGGAGGGCACTTGTGGGGATGAGCACTGGGTGTTATATGGAAACCAACTTGATAATAAACTATTAAAAAAAAGAATATTTCAGGAAACAAGACAACACTGTAAAAATGGTTTATCTGGAGAGTGAACAGGAGAAAAAGTTTTAGAGGTAAACTTCCTCTTCACTGTACTTTCATCTATAACATTTGAATTTTCTCTACCATATACTCAAACAAATGAATTAAATAAACAACACGTCTCATTCCAGCCATATAGAGGCAACCCCTTAGTCAAATATAATTTTTCACGTCCTTGAGTATGCAAATATGTGTACATCATTATTGTTTAACAGAAGTAGAACTGGGTGGTACATATTGTTTCACAGCTTACAAAGATATATTTTTGAAAGTGACACCCTAAATGTTGAGAAGAAGCACCATTCAGCAATAGGCCAAAAATCCAAATCCAAAACAAAACAAGGATATGGGCTTATTTGATTTCTTAAGCCAGATTGTTATCATGAACAAATTGCTGTGCCCATCAACTTACTTTCAACCAAATTGTTCTTTACCAAATTCCTTGAAGTAATTGGGAAGTCCCATGACCTATACTTAAAATAAAGGATTATAGTCCCCTCTGTGGATATGAGGGGATCTATGTGAAATATGTCAAGCAGAACAGCAATACAGTTAAGATCTCAAATTTCTGGAGCCAAACAGATCTTGGTTCAAACTCCAGAGAGAAGATTTAGCTGAGAGAATGTAAAAATTTTCTTTAGCATTTTAAGCCTCTGCTTTTATGCTGATATTATTATGGTGATAATAACTACCTTTCTTGCAATACAGCTGTATGGATGGAAGGAAATGACAGCTGTGAAGCCCTATGCACCATGATATATGGCAAGCCTGTACTCAATGGTAGCTCCCTGCATTTCTGTGGCCATTGAACCAGCCAAATCTGGGCATAACCAGGCTGGGATGCTGGATTTGGTGTCCTGTTTCCACTGGAACTAAGTGGCTTCAATCTCAAAAGATGGCTTCAATCTCAGAAGACAGCGTGCATTCATTAGAATTCTGGGTCTGACATTTAATTTGCTGGTGTGTCCTCTGCAAGCCTGTCTGCTTCCTTGATCCTCAGTTTCCCCATCTTAAATAGGCCTGCTTCTTAGGGCTAGTTTGCAACCCTTTCACATATTTGTGGAAGCAGTTAATATGCTACTAAGCACTAAACAGGCATAAGAGATGGAGATGGAGAAAATTATAACATTTACTATGACTATCCTCTGCTCTGCATCATTTTAAGTGCTTTTGTGCAAACTCACTTCAGTTTCACATTAGTCCTAAAAGATAGAAATTCTTAATATTCCATTTTACAGAGGAAGAAATCTGAAAAAGGACAGGCACAGAGGGAAGTCACAAGCAATAAGTAAAGGAGCTGAGAGGAAAGCTAGGGGAGCCTCTGCCTCTAATCATTATCCCACAGAGCTTCCCTTTGGTTACAGAGCATCTTCTTAAAAAAATTTTTTTTAATGTTTATTTATTTTTGAGACAGAGAGAGACAGAGCATGAGCTGGGGAGGGGCAGAGAGAGAGAGAGAGAGAGAGAGAGGCTCCAGGCTTTGAGCTGTCAGCACAGAGCCCAATGCTGGGCTCAAACCCACAGACTGCGAGATCATGACCTGAGCCAAAGTCAGATGCTTAACCGACTGAGCCACCCAGGTGCCCAGGTTACAGAGCATCTGTACTGGGCTGAATAGCATCTCTCCCAAATACATGTCTATTGGAACCTCATGTGTGAGCTTATTTGAAAATAGGGTTTTTGCAAATGTAATTAGTTAAATTAAGATGAAATTCTACTGGGTTATAGTGGGTCCTAATCCAACAACTGAAATCCTTATAAGAAAACAGGAGACCTATATACAGGGGGAAAGTCCATGTGAAGATGGAGGTAGTAACTGGAGCGGTGCACCTGCAAGCTAAGGAATGCCATCAATTGCTGGAAACTACCAGAAGCAAGAAAAGGCAAAAAACCATCCTCCCCTAGAGCCTCCAAGGGATCATGGCTCTGCCAATGCCTTGATTTTGGAACTCCAGCTTCCAGAACTGTGAGACAGTATATTTCTGTTGTTTGAATCCACCCTGTTTGTGGTAATTTGTTATGGTAGTTTTAGGAAACTCATCCAGAGAAGGAAAAGGGGAACCAATTATCCTGGAAATATAGGCTAACCCTCTGTAGCAACCCCTCTCCAAGCAGGGGAGAAGCTCCATTACCTGGCAGGCGTCCTTCCCACCTTGAGGGCTCCCAGCACATAGCATGTTCCTGGTAAGCATAGGCACAATATGGGAGCATGTTTCCCAATTGACCAGCTTGATGTTGACTTTTTGCAGCTCTGAAGTCATACTTTGCCTAGGGACTGGCCCAAAGAAGAAGCAGATGGGGAGAGGACTCTGAGCTCAAAGTGGTCCCTTTGGGTTGAGGTCAAACACCCACCCATCATCATGTCTTTTCACCTCAATGACAAAGGAAATACTGCATGACCCAGAGAACAATGCAGATGTGGAGTTAGTGAAGAGAGGATTGAGAAGCATTCAGGAGACTCAAGCCTATCTTCTCTGAATCCAGAGCTCCTCACAGCTGGGTCTTTATTGGATCTCAGCCTGAATGCACTCTTCTGCAGAAGGTCCCAACTCCAGGTATAGTCCGAAAAAGGTATTTCATCTAAATCCCTAAGCATGTAAAGAGGACCCATGATGACAAATTCTCAGGGCCTATGGCTCATTAAGATGGATTTGAATCATGTCAATCATGTCAGGGCCTTTGACATGGAAGAGGTGAACCTAACACCTAGAATGTTCACACCCTGAAAATGAGGACATTTCCCTTTTTGTATATTGCTGAATTTTCAGAGCCTAGAACACTGCCTGGATCATAAAAAAGGCTCATTGAATATGTGCTGAATAAAGCATCAGGAACTCTAAGAAGGTGGGCTTTTTTGAAGTTCATGGAAAGCTTCCAAGGGTAGTTCCCAATAAGGAATTCTAAAACAGCTCCAAGCTGTGGGGCCATGGGGAATCAATATACTGCCATCTGTGTGCCTACTTAGAAGAATGGCACTGACTAGGATTTTTCTTCTGTTCTTGATTTTGGACACATTTACCAAGAATAATTACAAGAGGCACCATTTTATGGGGTGACAGGGAAAAATGGTGGGAGTAGGTTCCAGATTGACTCTATAAGAACAAATTTATATCAGTTTATCCTCTTCTTCTTGGCCTGGATATGTGATTTTCAAATATTTGGGCCACCAAGCACTTTTCACAGGGGAGCAGAACTGACACCATCAAGTGGAACAGAACTGCTCTGCTGACATTAGGGTGGGCTTCTTGGAGCCTAGTCGACTTTGCCACCCCTTTACACATTAAGTGTAAATTCTCCCAGGTCATCCCTGGATTCTGGACACTTCTCCCTGGGTTATCACAAAGGCCCTGTTTAGGGTTTTTGTTCTATAATATGGGCACAAAACTTGGTACAGGAGTCCAGGAAGGCCAAGGAAAGATGATTCACATGTGGACTGAGAAGGTTCACCATGGGTTCTTAAATGAGAACCCGAAGTTTCCAAATCCACCAGGCAGATTTCTCAGAGCTAGAAAAGCCTCCAGAGTTTTCTTTCTCATTGCCTGCATAACCAGGGTGCCACCCCCCGCCAATGGGTTGGGCTATAGTAACTCACTGGTAATGCCCCATCCAGTCACCCAGCAGTTTCTCCATTTCTGTATGTCAGTGACCTCTGAAACGCAGATGGGTACTTCCATGACACCCAATTCAAATGGAGATTTGAGTAAGAGCAAAGCAATGTCATTATCCAAGAACCAGCTGTCAAAGTAAGGGTGAATAATTGACTTGTTCACTTTCATTCTCTTCAAGTTCTTGGTATCAGTGTTTCTTTCACCATGTATAATCTCCAAGTGAGATATTATCTCAAAACAAAAGAAGGAGAAAAAAAAAAAAGGTAAGTGGTGGAAGGACAAAAAAGGTGAGGCTTAAGAGAAAATAATTCTACCAGTGCAAAGATGTGATCCTGAAAGCTGGAGGGGTGGAGGCAGCTGGGGCCATGTACTTGGGCCCTAACTAGGCACAAGAAGACAGACCTGAGTTCCAGTCTTGCAATGTTGCCAAACAGCTTTTGACTTGATGGCCTCTTGGGCAACTTCACTTGTAAATTTTACTAACAAATGTCTGGAAGTCATGCTATGTACATGTAATTGAGGGACTTGATCTTGATTTGCAAGAAGGGGTAAACTAGCTATTAACAAACAGCTGGGAAATTTCTCAAAAATATTGATGTATAGACTTGAGGTAAGACAGCATCTCAGGAGCTTCCGTCATGCAACTAAGCCTGGTGCCCTGCCCTTGGGGGCCAATATTTTCTAGGATTCTCTGACTCTGGTTATTGTTAGCCTACTTTCTCCCCAAGAGGAAGAAAATGCTTAGGAAAGTACTTTCCAAAGGTTTTGATGAGGACAACATGCACTTAGCAAGATGCTAAGAAGCCCAAGGAATATTTGTTCTGCCATTTGAGTCCCACACAGTAAGATGTAGAATATCCTAGGAGGAAAACAGTGTCTATTCCACCTGAAACGTGTGATATTCAACCACACAGGCATATATTTAGCCTCCTGGTATTTTGTTATGTGACTGACAAACCTGGATGGAGGTTCCAGGAGAATAATACGCATGTAAGGACAAATATTCTACCACATTGGTTAAAAAAAATTCTGTTGTCAATACTTACTTATTTTTGTTTATGAAGCAATGGGCTGCAGTTAAAATCCACCACTCGCTGAGGATTGATCCTCCACAGAGATGTATCCCTCGGTAAAGAATACGCACCTGCCATGGAAAATCTATTATGTCTGCAGGTACCCCACCCATGATTTCCAAAATTTCTGACTTCTCAGGTTTGTTACTTATCCTTCGGCCACATGTCACTAAAAGTAGAAAGAAGGAAAAGGGACAAGAGATCCAGGGCCCAACAGTCAAGGTTTGTTGGCTTGGAAGGAACCTAAGTACAATTGCCACTTCATCTTAGCCAAGTTAACATCAGATGGGAGACTCATAAAAAAATCGTGCTTCTTATGCCTACCAAAGCCTTCACAATTATAATAATGTGCTTATGGGGAACAATGGCTGCTTCCTTCACTGTAGCGTTGATTTTTGGAAAGGTCTCCCTCTGAAGACTTGTGGGAAAGGAGACACAATCACAGACCTTGGAGCTGAATCTTGCTATTGCATCTCAGTAAGGAAGCCCGAACGGAAACGTTCATTTATTTGAAATTAGGCCTCAGCATCTTCTGAAAAATAGGGCATTGGAATGGTATCTTGGCATAGACGATAAAATTCTTCTCAGCTCTAGACTCATTTTCACGGCCCCTATCCCTGAATGACAAACACACCAGAAATTCTACAGGCAAAGGGAAACTGATTAGCACTTCCCTTCCTAACTGATTGCTCTACTTCATTTCTTATTATGATTAGTGGCACCGTTTTTCACATACTTTTAATTCTAAGGATTCCAACTGCACCTTAAAAGGAATAAAAATTTTGGCATTCCTATGTGATAAGATTGTTTTGACATCTTTTGTGTTTTTTGAATGTCATTGAGTAATGAGAAAAGTAAATATAAAATCTAAACTGTTGAGCACTTACTATTTCCCAGGCACCATTCTACTTTGCCTAAAACAATTTAATTTTAATATGGACTCCATGAGATATCTGAAATTATTCTTGATCCATTTTAAAGATGAGCCAATAAAGGCAAGTGTAAGTGTTAGCACATCTGGCCAAGACTCAACAGCTAATATATAACTGAGCTAAGATTTGAACCTAGGCAGTCTGGCTCCAGAGTCTATTTTCATTACCACTAGGCAAACTGCCTTCAAAGTATTAACCACGCTTATGCATGCAGAGAAAAGACAGTGAACATCAAAAATTTCCACAAACAAGTATAATATGAAAGGTGTATCTCTTCAGACCATCTGCATACCACACATCACTACCATCCATATGTTACCATCAGCAAACATCACCATAACCATACAATCCTGCCACCATACAACCCTGCCACTACATAATCTGACCACATGTCCCCACATCACAGGTCACCACACCACACAACCTCACCACCACACAACCCCACCAACATACAACTTAGCCATCACACAACAAACCATACAACCCCACCACCACATGTCCCCACCATGTCACCCTCTTCATATTGCTCATCACCACCACATTTTACCACAACCAGTGCACATCACCACTGCTGCCAGTCACTACCACTGCCACTGTTTATCTCTGCCTTTGGGCTTCTCTCCTCCAACTTCCCTGGCCCTTCAGCTCCTCAGAAGTGCCCTGCTCTTTTCCTACCTCAGGGCTTTTCTCCATGTGTCTGCCAGGAAGACAGGCTCCTCTCTCATCCATCTTGCCCCTCTTTGCCTATTTAATTCCTGTGTCTCCCTCACATTTGAGCTCAGTTATAATGTCCTTTTAAAAATCTTCCTTGCCTTTCAAGATTACAAAAGCTACCCTCGGTATAACTTTCTTTTCTGACACCCTACCTTCCATTCAGAACACTAACAACAGAAATTAAACATTTGTGAAACTGTTAGTTTCAAGTCTATTTCCCACCATTTAATTGTAATCTCTATGAAGGTAGGAGCTATGTTTTGCTAATTTTCATATCTCCATTACCTGGCATAGAGACTGGTAAATGACAGAAACCCAATACATACTTATTAAATAAATGGATGGATGGATGGATGGATGGATGGATGGATGGATGGATGAGGTGGGCAGTAAAGATCTTAATATGAGTGGTGAATTGAAGGACATGAGTTTAAAGATGCTATTCCCCCCTGCCATACCTATGGAGGCAACTGTCCTTTGAGTTCCTAAATCAGGTAGCCTTGGGTGAAGGGAGAGTAAGTGGCCTATAGGGGTGTTATCACATTTGAAGATGCAAAGAGAGAGTAAGGAGTTGTTACCCAGGAATATCTGCTTCACCCATATTGTTCCTGTCAAGGGAGATGTTTTGGCATTTCCAGTGGAAACCATACACTGCAAGGGCCCTGCAGCTCAATCTCAGATGGAAATGTCGAGTTTTCAGGGCCAACAAGGAAATATTGGAATTAATCTAAAATAAAGCAAAGTTGAATATCTGGGAAATTTTCTAAATACTTAAATAAAATACCAACTTGTGAAATTTTAAACAAAATTACTGATGATTAAAAGAGTCAGATTGGATTCATGGTTAAAAATCTCCAATATTTCAGTCTTTTTGTAACATAATAACTACTACTTATTGAGCACCTACTATGAGTCAGCTTCTGTATTGTGTGTATGCATGTTTGAGACATTTAATAATCCCAACAAACCTCTAAGGTATGTTTTATTATTCTTATTTTACATATGAAGAAATAATCTCTGAGACATCATGCAATTGTCCAAGATCATATAGCTTGTATGAGGCAGATGGGGACTTTTCAGCCAGGTGTGTCTGGATCTAAAGCCCAGTTATCTCTTCTTCTTGCTCACAGCTTTCATGGTATGTCTATATTTTAACAAAACTTCTGCTTAATTATTTGAGAATCTTATTTGGCTAAAATAATGGTATGTTGTTTGATGATTGCTCTCTAAGGTGAACATCAAACAGGTCGAGACACTATATCTGAAGCATTGATCTTCAATTCTGTATGCACCTGCAAGGGAAGCTTTCTGGAGTACATGGAGAGAAGGTTTTACTTGGAGAGCTAAGTCCAACTGGTGGACAGTAACTACCAATCCACAGTACTTTAGTAAAACAAGTCTAAAGGTGCAGCTAAGCGGGGCGCCTGGGTGGCTTAACCGACTGAGCCACCCAGGCTCCCCGCTTAGCTGCACCTTTAGACTTCGGCTCAGGTCACGATCTCACGGTTCGTGAGCCCGCGTCGGGCTCTGTGCTGACTGCCAGCTCAGAGCCTGGAGACTGTTTCAGATTCTGTATCTCCTTCTCTCTCTGACCCTCCCCTGCTCACGCTGTCTGTCTCTCTCTTTCAGAAATAAATAAAAAATATTTAAAAAAAATAAAGGTGCAGCTAAGCTCAACAAGAAAAGAGGACTATGATCTATCAGTAGTTTTTGCGGAAGGTCTGAGGGTGTTGGATTGGCAGTAGGACACCAAACCAGGCTAGCATTGATAGACACTTTTAAAATTTAAATGGGCAAAAATTCATCTTAAACTTGAGGGAAAAAAGTGCAAAAAAAAGTATGACATGAAACTGAGAAAGAACTAATATTAAAGATTACAGAATTGAGATTGAAAATTATCTGGCTATATCTGAATACTGGGCATGAATCATCAATATCAAACTCAATGAAGAATAGATATAAAGTCTTACAACCCCAGATAGAAAAATAATAGATCCAAAGCTCTAGATTGTAAAAGGAGCCTTGGCTTGGAAGTTTTCATAAGAATGTATCAACCAGGAGCACTTGGGTGGCTCAGTCGGTTAAACATCCGACTTCGGCTCAGGTCATGATCTCGTGGTCTGTGAGTTCGAGCCCCACATCAGGCTCTGTGCTGACAGCTTAGAACCTGGAGCCCACTTCAGATTCTCTCTCTCTCTCTCTCTGCATCTCTCCTGCTTAAGCTCTCTCTCTGTCTCTCAAAAATAAATAAATGTTAATAAAAATTTTTAATAAAGAATATTTCAACCATAAGATGCTGACAACATATGATTGCTAAGCTCCCTATATCATAGATGGAAGCATTTGGATGGTTGTTAGTCTGGGGCCACAAGTGCAAGAATTACATTAACAAATAGAGCGTATGCAGAGATACGTGGCCAATATATTGAGAAGCCTTATAAGAAACATAAAAAGAAAGAATACTCAGATGGGCCTTCAGACTCTTACAAGATTTTCTTAAAGATGAGGCATCAGACTTATTCAGATCCAGCGTCAGTGGGAGGAAACCACAAAATGGTTTAAAAATCTTACAGAAGTATAAAAATTCCACCATATTGTCATATTCCACTTTGTTGGCAATTACACAGAATTGAGTCTGATCTGAACCATATGAGACCTGTGAATTTGAAATTCAGTAGAGCCCCTGGAAGCCCAATTCTATATTCTTTGTTTAGATATTAGTATATTCTTTAATATAAAAATTAACTTAGTGGAATTTCTTTATAGTAAAAATGGGCTACCTGTAGAGTCTTCAGGTTTTTCAAGAAGTGTATTTGTTGTGATGAGCATGAAGTGTTGTATGGAAATGTTGAATTACTATATTATTTTGTACGCCTGAAACTAATATTACATTGTGTGTTAACTAACTGGAATTTAAATAAAAACTTAAAAAAATAAAATGAGAGGATTCAATAAAATTATCTCTAAGATTCTTTCCAGTTCTAAAACAGTGTACTTTTATAGTTCAGAATGCTGACAGGGAAATATTTTTATTTGAATTACATCATGTAAAAATGTTGTCTTTATTTGAATTCTTATAAAACATACATTTTAGCCATCTTATTCTTAATTTTTCCTTAAGATACATGATTTCAATTGCATTTTATTTATTTTTTAAAATATTTTTAATCTTTATTTATTTTTGAGAGAGAGAGACAAAGCGCAAGCAAGGGAGGAACAGATTGAAGAGACACAGAATCTGAAGCAGGCTCCAGGTTCTGAGCTGTCAGCACAGAGCCTGATGTGAGGCCCAAACTCAGGAACTGTGAGATCATGACCTGAGCCGAAGTTGGAAGCTCAACAAACTGAGCCACCCCAGGCACCCCTAATTACATTTTAAATGCTTTATTGATATTGATGTCAGGCAGACATTGGTCATGCAAACTGAAATATCAATTTATTTACATGATAAGTCTCATGCAAGTACAGAAGTGTTCCCATATTTTCATATACTAATATTTCAACTTGGTTGAATTGGGACTAACTTGGAAAATAGGAGATCTGTGGTTGTGAATTTTAGGAAAATCCCTGGGAGCCCAAGCGATTTATATTTTCTGTTGATAGAGAACTAAATGAATTTTTGGGTCTGTCAGCACCACAGAGCAAAATTCATGGTGGGGGTGTTCAAAGATATATCTTTGCAAGTCCCACCTGAATGAAATCACTTTAGACTCTAGAATTTTCCCACACGACTGGTTGATCTAGACCCAGAGATGTGACCAAGCAGTTTAAGATAAGAAAGTTTCATTTCAGCTTTTTACTCCAAAGTGGTTTCTCACTGCCTGTACTGTCCGGGTATCTCAGAAATAGTATTTCCCCCTAAAGGTTCTATTGATATGTTGTTGACTATGAGAGAAAGAAGAATTACTGGAGAGACAGAACTCAAGTCTGCAGAAGGCACGGTGGTTTTAGCATGAAAAGTTCCTGGCTTTGTCCAAGCTGGCAGGGAACCTGGTGCTGAGGGATGGAAGTAAGGTTTGGAGTAACTTCTGACTCCAATGTAGCCGACTCCATTGTTTGCTGGCTGTGTGACTTAGAGCCACTGATTTAACATCTCTAAGCTTCAATATCCTCATCTTTAATACAAAGATAAGTATTAACATAGCCTGTTGCTGTGTTAATGTAACATTTCATGTAATATTGACTTAAATGGATGTCATTTTGTTTTATTCTAGTCTGGGTCAAGGAGAAAGAGGTCTGAATTTTGCCCAAGACACTTGATCAAATCTGGGGTCACCTCTGAGCAAAGTTTTAGTGGGAGAATGCATGTGCTGGTGGTCTTCTTACATCAGTGGCCATTCTTACACTCTTTTGCTGAATCTTCCTGCCCTTCCAAAACCCAAGCCTCAATTTTCAGACCACTTCTTTTGTTTGAACTTTAGCTAGAGTATCTTCTCCCAGCCATAACTTCAAATATCATCTTTATCCAGAATATCTCACATTTGATCTCCCAGACCTCTCCACTGAGCCCTCAACTCTTTAACCAACTGTCCTACTCAATGTCTCACAAGAATATCTAAGAGGCATATTAAATTTGATGTGGCCCAAACTGAGATATTGACTTACCTGACCCCTGTCCAAATCTGCTTTCCTATAAGTCACCCACAGTTCAGTAAAAAGCACCTATATGCATCCTTTTGCTTAGATGAGAATATCATCTAGGAACTATCCTTGATTTCTCCTTTTCTCTGTCTCCTGGCATCCAATGCACCAGCTAGTCCAGTCAGCATTACCAAAAGATATCCAGAAACCAACCACTTCCCTTCATGCCTGCCACTATAAACCCATCCAGGCCATCATCCTCTCATGCGTACTCACCGAAGGCCTGCCCCTGCACACTCTATCCTCTGCACCAGCCAGTGTCTCTTCCTTAAGTACCTCCCATTTCTCACTCTCCTGTATAGACTCTCTGATGACTTCCTATTGTAACCAGAATAAAATCCAAAGTCTTTACTCTGCCTTTATGAAGCTTAGCATGATCTGGGCCCCACTAACACCTCTGAACCCATCTCTCTTCAGTGCCTCATTCCTATTCACTTGGCCCCAGTTACACATGTCTGTGTGCCTCCAAAACATACTGAGCTCATTCACTGTTCAGGGCCTTTGCACTTGCTATCACATATGTTTGGAAATATGTCTCTTTCTCATCAGATGGGTCTCGACCCAAATCTTATAATCTCAGGAAGGCTTACTGTGACCACTAGAACAATCTCAACAATCACCTACAGGCCTTCCTTCATATAAGCCTATTTTCATGCTTCATACCACTTAACAGGAACTGAAATTAATTTATTTATTTACTCATTTTATATGTTTAATACATCCTTCTCACTACATAGTAAAACTGCACAAGTATGTCATTCTCTGTTATAAACTGAGCTCCTAAAACAACTCCTGGCACATGGTAGAGGCTTCATATTTGTCAACCAACAAATGACTGAACATAACGCAAGTCTCCAGAAATTCTCAGGACCCAGGGAGATGAATCCATAGTAGCTATTAATACACTGCCTTTACTATAGTTATATCATGGTACTGTTTTGCATTAGGCCAGTTTGGCTCCACGTAATCCTTTAGAATGTTTTCAAAGAGAAAGCAGCCTGCATCATGACCTGAAAGCTGTAGGATATGGCTACTTTGTATGTCCAGCTTGATGGCTGGTTACCCCTCTCAAAGGGTTTTCTTATATCAACATTCACTATGGAAAACTCTGGGATGTAATGTAGATATAAAATATTCAGGCAAGCGCGTGCACACACACACGCACACCAGCCTCCTCCATATGTAATTTTAAAGTTGAAGATGTTCTGGGAGCAATGATCTGAAAGTCTGGTCCAGGCACCCCTGTACCTAAAGAGCTTATTAAAAGTGCAGTTCCCTGGATCCCACCAAGGACTGTGGAATCAGCATCTAGAACTTAACCTTTTGAACAAGTTTCCCAGGGGATTCTCCTGTCCCCACCCCCACCAAAGTGCAAGGGCCCTGGTGAGGCATAGACCCAAGAACACCATGAGAGACCTACATGCTGAGGAGCTGTGTGCCCAGGACAGCAGCAAGGTGACCAGCAGCAGAAGTACTGCTCTTCCATGCCTCCATCCCATCATCAGCACTGATCTTTAATCAAGCCAATGGAAAGCCTCCAGGTGATACTGTGTAGATTCAATTCATAGGGATTGAGCCCGGGCTTTGCTCTCTGTGCCTGCTATCTGACAGCCCACCCTGACCATTGAGGTCACAATAGAGCACTGGGTAGAACAGCCATGGTCCAGGCAAGGCAACGAAGTGGCACCTGCATCCAGGGCTTAATGATTTCTGTGAGCCAATCCTCTGGGATGTGTAGGTCAGTGTGGAACTGGGGGCCAGAAGCAGGATAGTGGGAGAACTCCACACCAGTTGGGCTCCTGCAAGTTGAGGCATCTCAGAGTCTCTCAGATCCATTAATGCATCAGGACAGAAGAGCTAAAGGCACTCCCCAGGAGAAAGGATCCAAGGGTTCTGGCCCAAACAACTCAGGTGATACAGCAGAGAAAGGATAGCTAAAGGACGCCTAAAGAAGAGAGCTCACATTACCAGTGGGACGTTAGGGGAGCTACTGAACTTTGAGCCTCAGATTACTCATCTGTAAAATGCAGATAATAATGATTCATTATATAGTTGGGAGTATTAATGAGTTAATATGCATATCCTAGCACAGGACTTGGCAAATACCAAGCCCATGATTTTAAGTTTCTACTAATTGCATCTCTACTAATTGCATCTCTATGGGCTTCCAGCAAAGGAAGGAACATTAACCAGCAGTGTCTATAAACAAAACATGCATAAAGTACAGATCCATGCATAGATCAGCTGCAGGGTGGTTTCTGTTGATGCAGTCCATTCATTTGTGCAGTAGGTTAGGTAGCACTTTATTGGGCACTTTCCACATGCCAAGCTTGGAGGATGATACAAAAATGAACAATATTTGTTCTGTCTCCTAAAAGCACATACCCAGCTGGGAGAGACATGTGACCAAAGACATCAACAACACAGCAGAGTCAGTGTATCACTGTGAACTGCAGAGGGGCACCCTAACTAGTCTGGGAGGAGCATGTGTATACGGTGTGTGGGAGAAAGAGGCTATTAAGGAAGATTCTCTAGATGAAATAAACTCTGTCTCAGCCAAGTCAATCTACAAAGAGAAATGGTTTTAGGAAAAGGCAGAGAGGTATTTGTTATGGATAGAATGGTGTCTTTTCAAAATTCTTCTTTTGAAGTCCTAAACCTCAGTACCTCAGATTATGACTTTATTTGGAAACAGGGTCATTACAGATAAATTAGTTAAGATAAGGTCTTCCTGGAGGAGGGTTGGCTTCTAATCCAATATGACTGGTGTCCTTATGAAAAGGAAAACTTTGGATACACACACACATAGAGAGAGAGAGAGGAGAGGGAGAATGCCATGTGAAGGTTGGAGTTAGGCTGCCACAAACCAAGGAACTACCAGAAGCATGGAGAGAGGCCTGGAACAGATCCCTCCTTACTGCCTCCAAGGGAGCATGGCATCCTGACACCTTGATTTTGGACTTCTGGCATCTAGAGCTCCAGAAAAATTTCTGTTGTTCTACACCACCCAGTTTGTGGTGCTTTGTTATGGCGGTCCTAAGAAAGTAATGATGGCATTCTAGATGGGCAGAAAACATGCACAAACATGCAAAGGTATATGGGAACTATAGGAACTTTTAAGTCAAACCATATATAATTTCTGTTTTTGTATCTCCAAAGTATTGGCAATTTCAAATGGTCTAAACTAAAAGGTTGCATTGGAATAATGTACAAGTTTGAGCAGGAGACAGAGATCAATTTATTGAATAAAGCTCAAATCTGAATCAACAGTCTTCCCTAATATCCAGCCACTGAATAATTCTCATGAGCAATCACCATGGATGTGACAGGTATGGGGGGAACAAGCATTATTCCTAAAGACTGGCAAGGCAGTGATAGATGTAAACATTTTCAAAAATTCTATACATAATGGATTTCCATTTCAGGGGAAGTGACCATGGGGATTTTTCTTTTCCTAGCTGTTTTGAGGCTTTAAAATTTATCTTTAAAACTCTTGGAAATATTCTGTCAGAATAAGCAAAAGGCAGATGCAATATTAGGAAATTAGTTCACGTTATTGGGTATAGACTTTTCACACAAGCATTTCCGATACTTTGCATAGGTATAAACAAAGCATTAGAATTTACCCACTTAGCTCATATTTTTCTAGGCCAGGAAGGGGGCTGAAATGGAAGGGAAAGTTTTCTCACCGCTGTTCTTTGGAAAACAGGCTGAAGTTGAGTTTCACTGAGGCTATAAATGTCGCATATTTTGGGGCTAGTTAGCCTGTGTCCATATGAGGTGGAAGAGAGCAGAGATAAAGAATTTCCAGTGTTGGCGCACCTGGGTGACTCAATCGGTTAAGCGTCCAACTTTGGCTCATGTCATGATCTCACGGTTCATTTGTTCAAGCCCCATATCAGCCTCTGTGTTAGCAGCTCAGCGCCTGGAGCCTGTTTCAGATTCTGTGTCTTCTTCTTTCTCTGCTCCTCCCCCACTCATGTTCTATCTCTGTCTCTGTCTTTCTCAGAAATAAATAAACTAAATATATATATATAAAGAATTTCCAATGTCACCCACAGTCCTGCCTAGCTTAACCACATTGCTTCCAATGGCTGGCCCAGAGTCCAGAACAAGATAACATAGCATATGCATTATCTTCATTTGGACCCTAAAGAATCTCAAAATTTCCCAGCACATCAGTAGATGAATTCACACTTTTATCAAAACACCATTGTATGAAGACATGTGTCCACACTAAAAGCTCACAATGTTTACAGTGACCTTATTCATAATTGCTAAAAACTGGTAACAACCTACATGTCCATCATTGGGTGAATGGATAAAAAGTGGTACATCCAGACCACAGCACTACTATTCAGCCATGAAAAGGAACAGATATAGATACGTGTGGCAACATGAATCTCAAGTGCATTATGCTAAATGGAAGAAGCAACTGCATTCAGCGTGTGCCATTTAGATGGCATTCTAAAAAGACAAACAACAGGCACAGAGAATGCATGAGTTGTTGCCCGGGACTGGGATTTGGGGAAGGGGATGGGTTACTAGGGGCATGGGGAACATATTTTTGGAGTGTGGGTGGGAAGTTTCTATGTCTGCATTGTGGTAGTGATTACACACCTATTTATATTTGTCAGATTTCTTTTTTTAATTTTTAACATTTATTTATTTTGAGCGAGGGACAGAGTACGAGTAAGGTAGGGACAGAGAGAGAGGGAGACACAGAAACCAAAGTGTGTTCCAGGCTCTGAGCTTGTCAGCACAGGGCCTGTGCGGGGCTTGAACCCACAAACTGTGAGATCATGACCTGAGCCAAAGTCCAATGCTTAACCGACTGAGCCACCCAGCCACCCCAGGATTCTTAATTTTTTTTCAAGTTTTATTTATTTATTTATTTTGAGAGAGAGAGAGAGAGAGTGTGATCTGAGGAGGGGCAGAGAGAAAAGGAGAGACTCTCAAGCAGGCTCTGTGCTGTCAGTGCAGAGCCCAATGTGGGGCTCGAACTCATGAACCATGAAATCTTAACCTGAGCTGAAATCAAGAGTCGCAGAGTCAGCCAACTGACCCACCTAGGTCCCCTTTATTTGTCAGGGTTCTTAATACCATACACCTTAAGTGAAATTACTAAATAAATATAAATGATACCTTTAAATCAGACTTTTAAAAATGACTTTATACTTTGCACACTTTGAAAAGCCACTGATGTGAACCACAGAAGACTTGCCCCATTTGTTAAAAGCCTTTCTGCTGTAACCTCAAGGGCCAGCCTTGTGGGGGGGAAATGATTTTTATTAATATTGTATTAGTCTGTTCAGGCTGCCATAACAAAATGCCACAGACTGGGTGGCTCATGCAACAGAAATTTATTTTCTCTGTTTTGGAGGCTGGAAGTCGGAGATCAAGGTGCTAGATTATTCTGTTGCTGGTGAGGGCCCTCTTCCTGGCTTGCACATGGCCAGCTTCTCACGGTGTCCTGGGATGGGCTTCCTCAGTTAGTGTTTGTGGAGGGAGGGAGAGACTTAGAGAGAGAAATAGGAGAGAGCAGGAACACACATTCCAGTGTCTCTTCTTATAAAAAAACACTAATCCTGGAGCACCTGGGGGGCTCAGTTAATTGCGCATGGACTTCAGCTGTCATGATCTTACAGTTCATGAGCTGGAGCCCCACATCAGGCTCACTGCTGTCAGCGCAGAGCTCTCTTCATATCCTTCCCCCTCCATCGGCCCCTCTCCCACTCACATTATCTAAAAATTTAAAACATTTAAAAAAACACTATCCCACAGCATCAAGGCCCCACTCTTATTACCTCACTTAACCTTAACTATTCTTTATTATTACTGTAATTACTAGCCTTACTTATTAGGACCCATTACCAAAAATCAGCCACACTGGCGGCCAGGGTTCCAGCATTTAAATTCTGGGCCCATAACCCAAAGCAGACAGGACACGCCGGTGCCCCCAAGGCCGCAGTACCCATCGAGGTTCTTGCTCAGGTACTGCTGGTGGTACTCTTCCGCGTAGTAGAAAGTTTGTCCCTCCCGGATGTCGGTCGTGATCGGGCCATAGCCGTGCTCTGAAAGAACCTGGGGAGAGAAAGGCACCATGAGGACCGGATGCTGGGCAGAGAGGGTCCCGACGAGAGCTGGGAGGTCCAGCTGTGAGGGAGGCAGACACGCGTGACTTGGGGTGTGCAGTGGGTCCTTGCGGGCCTGGGCTCTGCCGCTTCCCAGCTGGGTTATTCCGGCCAAGCTCTCACGGGCCTGTGCCTCAGGTAACTGGGTTTGAAGTCTGGTTTCCTGACTCGAATATGTGTGCTCTACCCATCATACCGAGGCTGCCCCCGGTACGTGTTGGGAGCCCTGGTTTGGACCCTGTGGGTCTGTGTGAAAGGGACCCCGGTGCTTCTCTGGAGAAACATGTTGCTCCCTGACTGCCCTGGGAAGAATGCGCGTCCCTGAGGGCAGTGAAGCAGGGCTGTGGTTGGAGGGGATGAAAGGGCAGGGGCAGGATGGGGCGGGGAGGGCTACAGCCCAGCCCAGTGCTGTCCCCTCTGCTGCCAGTT